AGTATACAAACGATACGTAACGAGAAGAGCAATTTGGTTACGCTAGGTCTGCCCGTTTTAATTATGCTTCCGACACCTCGTTCTGCAGAAACGGCGCGTAATTTATCTCAGTTTCGGCTGCAGAAGCGCATCTAAAGACAACAGGCCCTACCCTCGGGTTTTGTCTCGAGAGAAGCATCGTCTCCTCGCATTGTACACAGTTTTCTTAGCCTTATTCACTGGTATCGATTTGAACGCGCGTATGTAGCAGTCGTAAGACTCTCTCGCGAAGGGTACCTGAAGAAACGTTAGAATTTGTGCGTGTGGAGATCATAGTACATGGACGAGGCCGCAACGGGGTGCGGGGGTGGACATTTGCGAATCGCGCGTATTTTTTTTTTCTTCACTTTAATTTACTTGCAAAAGCGTGTCGCCAGTTAAAAGTGGAACGGATGTGATGTCGTCGGTGTGTCGGATAAAAGTGTCTAACGATGCACGCGAGTGGACGCATCATGATCACACAGCAAGCGAATTTACCTGATAATACTCGTAACGTTTAACGGTATTTAGCTCATAGATTGATTAAGTTCTTTTAAGTTCTGTAACGCTAACTCGTGACCCTAATGTACAGACAGCGCGTGGCGCCGCGAGTTAGAACCTCGCGCCACGTGCTCCTCCCCTCCTCTGCGTTCTCCGGATGGACGTCCGTTCGGTATCGTTGAGTGAACCAGAGGGAACGTATGCTCGGTGTATGCGCTTCGTTGCAAGTTCGCGTCGGCCCAGTTCCGGGAACGGCGCGAGTCCAGCGGTAAACTTCGAGATTCCACTAGCGGGCGTTCGATGCGATGAGGGGAAATTTATCGTTTACGTGAAAACGATAACGACGGTCGTTTCGCCGGTAGGGAAATATTTTAGAAATTATGTAACGAAATCTGGGTGAAACTTGGAGCGCCGGAATTACGCGCGCATATTTCGAACAGCGTACGCAGAAACGGAGAGAACCCGTTAATCATTGTGAAATTTTCTCCCCCTTGGACGACGCAATTATTACACAATATTTGAAACACTTTCCTATCGCGGTTCTTGTGTAAAAACGAGCTCCTTCGCGGTACGCGACGTGAGCCGCTGCGCAGACGGAAGCGCGCGTTTCGGAAAATTGATGACCCGCGCGGGCGGATTTACAATCCGCCGTTAAACTTGTCATTTATATTACACGTAAATTATTGTGCATTCACACGATTCGAGAATGGCGCGGAGTCGAGTTGAGGACCCGCGCCGTTGCCGGGAGCGGCCGATTTGTCTCCTCTCTCTCTCTGCGCAGAACGTTCGCCTAGCCGGCCCGCGGATACATCGTGGAAAATCGTTTAAAAATATACGGTGTACCCGTGAACGCGCTGCGTATACGACAGTGAGGACAGATTCTTCGTGTTTTACGGAGATGCGTTATACAGGCACGAGATTCGCGTAATTGATTTCGGCTCGCGAATCGGCACTTAGACAAGCTACGAAGAAGGCATCGTGCGAGGTAAATGAATCTGGCGCGCGGGACAACGGCCGCCGCGCGCCAAATGTTTAAACATTGCAAGAAACGAACAACTTTTCTGGCGCATACGAGCAATCGCGCTGAGGATACCGCCGTTCGGGGGGGACCGCGTCGGGCCCCACCGGCGCGAGCCGCGACAGAGTTACCGGTAACGCACGACTTCGCAATCATTGAGCTATTATCGAGTAGGAAAAAGTATGTCGCGAAATGTCGTCGTGACACCCGCAAGTATAGTCGGCGCTTAGTAACGGGGACAGATTTACGATAGAGAAATGGCAGATTCGTCGAAGGGGGTTCCCCCGAGTCGCTCGGGGAGAGCACCGAGTGCGCCTCTGGTTCACTCCGTGAATCGCGAGGGTGGATTTTTAATCGATCCTGAGACAGAGAGATAACTTGGCTCGTTTCTCGGTCGAGAAAGCTCCTTCGGCCGCTGTAAAGCCCTCGCCTCTTTGCGGACGGCGATGCGATCGCCTAGTGTGGTCTCCACGAGATATTATTCAGACCCTGAAAATGTCGCTTCAGACTGCTGCCGTCGGCCCAGGGGGAGTTGAGATACTCGTCGTCATCGTCTTGCTCAAGTTTCTGGAAGGTGAAGACAAACGCATGAGGCTCCTCTCGCTTAAGGCTCTCTTGAGCCTCGTGTCTACGATGCTCGAAATCGGCCCGAGGTCTCGATCCGAGAAATATGTGGCCAATCAACTCGCATCTCTTACAGAAGAGCTGCGCTTGATTGGCTACACATTTCTCGGATCGAGGCCGATTTCTACTCTCTAAAAGTCAATCAGCGGGTTATCACTGAAAGCAGCAAATAGTCGCTGATTTATACACGGAATTTTCTCTTAAAATTTATCCTGAAAATCTTGTGACCGTGGCACAGCATGGCATTTTGAAGAACTTTGTGAGTTTTTGAAATTTTACTAGTAAAATGTGTACTAAGTAAAATTACTAACGGAATGTACAGTAAAATTTAAAAAGCTTTCGTATAATTCTTTAAAATGCCATGTTGTCCCACGATCACATGATTTTCACGATAAATTTTCAGAGAAAATTCCTACCGTGCAGTTGTAACTACGATTTTCAGAGGTATACTTATAACTGTAAATCAGCGACTATTCATTGTTTTCAGTGATAATCCACTGATTGATTTTTAGAGAGTAGCATTGTGGACACAAGGCCTGGTTTTCACCCGGGACGATACTCTTTATTAAGACCCAGTTCCACCGACGTCGCTTAACTTCGATCTTAAATTCATTCCAACTTAACGTTAAGCGACGTTAATCTTAGTTTGAGTCATTCTTGGCCTATTTCTAAGGGAGCAGTTGGGATGAATTTAAGATCAAAGTTAAGCGACGTCGGTGAAACTGGGCCTTAATAAAGAGTATCGTCTCGGGTTTACATTATTTACATCGACGCGACTAGCCGCTTGAAATTGTAGAGCGAGATCGAATGGTTTACGTGTTAAATGATCAGTTATACAATCATCTTTCAGCTTTGAAGAGACTTATCTTGTAACTTATTTAAAAAACAATTCGTAATATTTATAATTGCAGCTCTGTGCTGTGTTCTTTCAGGATCAGAGGTATCATTTCGTCCTCGGCGTGTACCTTGATTTAGTTCGCCCTCGGCGTTTCGCATATTAGTTGAATTCGTGAATTCGAAGCCCCGTTGATATCCCAAACTTGCTCGTCTATGCGCATAGAGCGTGAACGACCCTAATACCTCGGTTTCTGCAGGCTCGCGCAGTATTCGTGAACAGACGACCGCGAGAATTCGGCAAGGTAGGAGAGCTCGAGGGGCTGTCGTTTGGAAGCCATGGGGAGGGCTGAGAAAGCAAGGGTGAGTTAGGCGGGGCTCGGGCGGTTGTGTCGGGTCAGAATCGATGCTCGCGTCCTTGCTTGGCCTCAGCGTGGCCTCTCTCACGCATTCCGTATAAACGTCAAAACCGCAGGTGCCCCGCAGGCTCGCGTGGGGGCTAACTCGCGATTGATCATAAACACACGTGCGAATTCGTGCCGCACGGAAGCGTGCACGCGTCGAGCATGCTCGGGCAAAAATAGGTGAAATAAACGAAGTAACGCTGGGAATTCGCCGTGTAGTGTGACACGTTTCTAAGCGTTGAAATCTCACTAGCGCGGACAGTTAAAAAAACCCCCTTTTCACTCGCAATTTCAGTATCTCCGCTCTAACACGGTCAACTAATTTAACAAATTCATAAAGTTCATAAGACTCTCATGTGATAAACGTAAATTCGAAGGAATAAGGACTACGGAGCCGTGACAGGATGTTAAATGTCTAAATAATGCTTTCTCTTTTTTTCTCCAACACACTGAGGAATTAAGATCGATCGGACCAACTGGCGTTTAAAAACGGAATTGGTCAAAAAGGAAAATAAGAGAAATCGGACTCAAATTGAGCCAACTCTAGGAGGTTCTAAATAGATCATCCAGCCTGGTATAGAACTTGGGGTTGTCTCCACAAAGCATTGACCACAACCGTTGCGCCCACTTGCCTCGGCAACGTTTTTAACTTTTGACTAATCCTGTCTGTTTCAACTGATAGTCAATTTAACTATTTAATTTTAATTTCGCGCTGATGAAAGCACTGTGTGCTGAAACCCGTCCGCTATCTTGTATTTCAACTGTAACAACTTTTGATTTTTTAAAAATATGTATTACATTGTCAACTCTTATGCTCGTAAAAATGGGTCTCTTTTGTTTAGTTGTTGTTAAATAATTCTCATTTTTAATTTATTGCGAAAAATATTACCTCAGCCAGGGTTTGAACCTGGACCTCCCTCTCGCTAGACGGGCGTCTCACCAATTCGACCACTGAGGCATGTGATGATATTGAAATAATTTAATTTCTTCATAATAATTGTAATTACTGCAAGATTTCTGCAGAATGAGACAATCACTTATTATTTAATCTTGATTGCGAATAATACAAAGTGTACGACTGTGATATACTGAGAACAGGAACAATTGCAAGTTTAATATATGCATTTTTACGGACTGGAATGTTTTCGTCGAAAAGTTTCCCCGTAAGATTAAGAAAGACGGATAGCCGCAAGTGCCACTTTCCCCAATTATTTTCCGATTCGCGGAATAATAATTGCAACCCTTTCTTGCGCTCTCGCTGACAGATGACAAAATAAACTGGGGCGAAGTGGTATAAGTAGCTTTGCGTGAAGAGACTACTTGCTACTACATTTGTCTCCTCGACAAATAAAACGGGTCAAACATTGTCGCGCGTGTAGCTCTTTTCGAGAGTGGAACGGATTATTCGCGGATGTGGAACACTCCGTCCAGTGTTTACTTGAAAATGTTTCGTACTTCCGCAGCCGTATACGTGGTTACGGAGGTCGATCTCGCGACCCTTTTTCGCCCCCCTCGAGAAACGTTAGAAAACTACCCTCTCGTGCGGGCGAGATCGCGAAAACAAATTCGTTACTTACGCCGTCGTGTACTCGCGAAAGTTTCCGCTCGAGAGATCGGACGCGAGGAAATAGGGGTGTTTGATCGTTGCGTCTGTCGCTGCCTTTGAATGGTAGTAGGTATGAATCGGGGATACTTCGGATAGATCACTCTGTGTATGCGGTTGGACGATGGTGGGAGAGGTAGCGGCGACTCGCAGTCTATCGCGCAGCCGTTCGACCTATATCGCCCTGCATCCCGAGTCTCTATTTATAGACAGATGCGCCGGTAGTGTGGTCGAGAGCACTTAACTGCGCCATCATTTTATTACGCCGGTAGCTTTTTACGAACAAATTATGCCCATGGAGTTAATCGCGAATTTGCAAAAGGGGCGGGGGAGAGGAGGGAAAAGTTTACGCGAAGAACGGGGAGGATGCGATTTCTCTCCCCGTGGCGGGGAGATACCTCTCCTCTGTGGTATCGTGCTACTTTCTGTAGCGAGATTCGTTGAACATTCTGTTGAATTCGTGGAGCCCTTTGTCGGATTCCGCGAATCTATCCCGTCTCTGTTCTACGCCCACGCGACATTCGATCGCGCGCATTCGACCACCCCGGGTATATCGTATTCTCGTTCCGTCGGAGGTCCGGACAGCTCGGGAGGTTCTCGTTTATTAAATATTGTTGGACGATCTGTGTCCTGGGACTTCTGTAATCGATTCCTCCGCGGAGAATACGAATCGAGAATCCGCGGTGCGATTAATCCCAATGCGAATCGCACCGAAATGACGTAAACGTCTGACGACGAAGCCGAACTGCCATTAAGGACATGATCCGACATGTACGTGATCTGACATATTTTTACGTACAATACATCTGGCACTTTTTTCAAATCGCATCTGTTCGCGCGAAACACAATGTGTATGCGTAATGAAGTCGAAGCACATCATTAATGCCTACCTATCTCAAGTTGTACGCGGATCGAGGTACGTTTGGAGAGTGTGCGACTTTCTAAAGCCTTGTGTCCACCGAGGGGGAAACCGCTGACCAAAATCTTGTACACCAACGCCCACTGAGGCCCGGTGGGCATTACTTTATCTTATTTTATATCATTTTATCTTTATAATGCCTCAGCAAGGCTTAATGCCCAAAAGATGCCTAGTAATACCTAGTAATGCTCAGTAATGCCGCAAATCTGTACACCACAATGCTCTCAGCGGTTTACTCCTCGGTGTCCACGATCCAAGAACTGTGTCCATGTTCTAGTTCCGAGAAATGTGTAGCCAATCAACTTGTATCTTTTACGGAAAAGCTGCAAGTTGATGGCAATGCTGATTCACTGTTTCCGTAGTCATAATCGAGGGGAAAACCGCTGACCAAAATCTTGTACACCAATGCCCACTAATGCCCAGTGGGCTTTATCTTATTATTTTATTTTATCTTTATAATGCCCCAGCAAGGCTTAATGCCCAAAAGATGCCTAATAATGCTCAGTAATGCCGCAACTCTATTCACCACAATGCCCTCAGCGGTTTCCCCCTCGGTCATAATGCACGAAGAATTCGAAAGTCATACGCTTTTCAAAAATGCCTCGATCCGCGTGCAACTTCAGATGGGTAGGCATTAATGACGCCGTGTGTACATACACTCGTCTCTCAATTTACGCGAGGTATTCCACGTGGTTTTTCCCACGCGGTTGAGAAGCGCGTAAATGGAGTCTACCAATACAAAATAAAAGAATATCTAAGAGAAAAGCCCCGCGCTCTTATAATGCGGATTGCGCTTCTCTTGCTTCCTGTTTGATTTTAGTTTCCGCGTAAACGGAGGGATTTTTACCGCGTAAAAGGAAAAAACGTATAAAAGGTACCGCGTAAATCGAGGGACGAGTGTATTTGGCTCCTACCGTTAAGGTAAAACGTTGGTAACGTACCGATTGCCTGTTTGTCACTGAAGAGGTGTACGTTCCAGCGAACGTCTCTACGTACAATGTCCTCAGAATAAAATTTGCCGCGCTGTTATTGTTAAACGAAGCGTCCCGTAATTGACGGCTGGTGGATACGTGAATATTTCGTGCTGTTTGGAGAACAACTTGGCACGCCTGTCCGATTACTCGCGACTGATCAATTTTATACAGAAGGGACGCTTGTTCACGTGGATTATCGAACACCTTCGGTTCGCCGCAAACCACGAAGGAAATTGACTGAATACTCCTATGGCAACGTCATACTTGAGCGTGCAAATCGTGCCGACTGTGGAATGACATTTACGCACTCGGCGCGCTATTTCTACAGCGAGCCGTTCATTCAGACGACTTTATGCCTGGCGTAAAATTATTGCGTCTAAGTGAGGCACTTGGACGGCCAAGTTAGCTCTTACGACAACGTAAACATCTCTCTGTGATTACGAAGCAGAGACGGATATGTAAAACAGAACTAAATAGTGGAGTAAAGACGAGAAGAGTTCTGTTCTATTTTAAACCGTCCCTCCGAAAGTTTTGCTACTCATTTTACATGCTATTCGCTTTAGATATTTTCTATGTATTCACACTAAGAGAGAGAAAGAGAGAAGATCGCGGTAGCTTTTCCGAGGCTCAGACGGGATTATCATTCTTAGGGAATAATTCTAGATCGTCGGCGGTTGCGCGGTTAAAGTGATTATGCCTATTTACAGTTAATGTTTAGAGAGTCTTTTCGAAGCCCTACAGAAAAGCACGAAGGCACTTAAAAGCTTAGATCCCTCGGTCAACAAGTAAGACAGCGAATCCGTGGCCAGCCTCTTTACGCGTTGACACGTTCCCAAACTCAATCGATAGCACGAGATTTCCGAGGCGGTGCTTACCCCTGAACGGAGAGCGAGTTAGGAATCCCGTCAAGACTTTCCCTGCTGATGTCGTCGGCCATGGCGACCTTGAGTTGGTGTCCGAAGCTCGCTAAATCCTCCCTGAAGGCTTCACTTCCGGGCGTCAATGCACCGCTAGTGGGTGGCAGGGGTGTACCGTCGCCTTCCCCTTCCTCCCCCTCCTCACCCTCTTCGCCACCTACGAGGACCTCCTCGTCTTCGTTGTAGATCTTGAAGTAGGCGATAGTGAGGTATATCACCGAGATTATGAAAGACGGTATCGGAATTGCCATCGCGTACACAAGGTTCATGTACACCTGGAGGAAGCGTTTCAAACATGTGACCAGGGGCTCGGTAGAATTTATTATGCATCCGGGATTCTTTCGCCTAAACATCGACAGTGTTTTGTGGAGGAAATCCCGCGAACGAATTTCTCGACCGAAAGATTACATTTTTAATTACGAAATGTCTTGCAACGCGAATTGCACTGGCCGCGGCGTATGCAAATGAGAGGAACTAATTAATCCGGTGGAGACGAGAACAAGAAACACTACGTAGATAAATTGTCTAATGGAATGATAACGCGGAACGGACAGCAAGAGCAGCGCAACTGTGCGCAACTCGACAAGTGGTAGCAGTCGACGTACGATCAGCCGTCTACAAATATACTGAGAGGTAAGCTAAGCGTTACTCTTCAATCAAGTTTTCCAATTGAGAATAAATCGCGGGAAAAAAAACGTTACTCGATATCACTGGCAATTGCACTGCTAAGATATGGCCGAGTTGATCCTGCAAAGTGACTTTTCTATAAATTTTGCGGAAGAATAGTCCCGAGAGAGGGGCGTGTTATTCGCGCCACGTGATCCTATTTCTTCCTGTCGTCCATTCGTTCGAAGGATCGGCACTCGTGCAGCATCGAGAGCACGGCGGCGGGCTTTTCCGGGATCGCCGATGTTATCGGCGGTTTATAATAGCACGCCGACCGCACACTTGTGGAAATTGGATTTCTGCGCGCCGGGAGAAATTTTCTTTTCTTCCGGGCGGCGCATCGCGCGCCGCGATGGCTTCCGTCTTTGTCATCGGCCGCCCATTCAACCGCTTGAAATGCATTGTCCGTTCCTCGTGCAGACGGTCACATTTCCGTCACCGTTAACGCTACCACGCTCTGTGCCCCACGCTCGGAAAATCCTCTTCCGCTTTGCTATCGCTTTACATCTCCTACGTGCGATCGTTTGCATTGTAATCCCGGCGAATTAGCTCGCGGCGATGCTGCGGAAAAATCTGCCTCGATTGTGTCACGAAGCGAAGATCGCTTTCAGATATTTACGGCGTTCAAACTCGACGGGGGAAATTCTATAGCTTTCAGCACACACAGTTGAGATTATGAGAGATCGATAAAAGAGAGGTGAACCCCAGACGTTCTACAGGAATAAACGCGAGTCTCCCGTGTGCAGCATAGCGGTCGCGATCAAAGTGACAGTCGGGAGAATAACTTTGGAGCGAGTAGTTCTGTGCTCCGAGTCGCGGCCGATTCCGCGCGAATTCATTACCGTGTGATCCATTTAATCATCTCGTACGAAACAGTTTCGGCCGTGTATTACGCTCCGCTCCCGATAGGCAGCCGCAGTATTGATTCTCAAGTGCCGCGGCTCGTCCCGGCGTTAACTCGGGCAAAAGTCACACAGCACTTTCGCGTGACTCGCACATACCGGTGCACGGGGCTAAATCGCTAAACTATAACTCTCGGGTTATAATACGGTGGCTAGAGCCCCCACGTCAGTCCGACGGATGCCATCGCGCAGCGAAGGAATTTGCACATCCCGGATTTAGGGGTTGAAAGTAGAGTCGCGGGCGCACATAGACGCGGAAAGTGCATACAATAACGCCAGAGACCTGCCACATGTCGAGGTCGCTGATGACTATCCCGGGATCCACTTTCGAGTAGTAACAGCTAAAGTTCTGCCCTATGTTGGCGTACTGCCGGTAGAAAATACTGCAATTCAGCATTGGAGGGTATCCACAGCCTTTTACGTTGGGGAACAGCTTGGCCCCGGTGAAGTACCATTCGGAGTCGTTGCCCATGAGACCTGCGAACTTGCCCTCGTTATTGTTCGGCAACGGGGGACGCTTTTCAGCGGGGAGAACCGCAAGAACAAACCGGACGGGGATAAAGAAAAACCCGTATAACGACTTCCGTATTCAGCGCGCTCTCGCATTCAGCGATGGATCGCCGGAGCTTCGCCGCTGCAAATTTCTCTCTCGCGGACGCCACGGCGGTTTTAGCTCTCCATCAATTGGCTTCGTTAAGCCCGCGCTTGTTTCTAACAATTTTTAAGATCGATCGGAATAATTCGCCACAATGAAGATGTTTCAACTCGGAACGGTCGACATTAAATCATTAAGTATAGTAAAACTCGGCGGATAATACAATTATTAGGAAAAGTTAACAGCGTTATCGATAGTTTCGCAATATCGCTTTTGCTCCAACGTTCCTGTTATTCCCGTTGGCCCTTTGATTGGATTACGGAATTTATAGCCTCGGATCAGAAACGTCTCTGGTGCACATGTAAAATATCAGTTACACGAATAAATAACAAGCGTCTCCTTCCGGTTATATAACCACGCTCTATCGAAAACAAATATGGATTGAGATGATTGTGTGGTAGGGTCGAATGTAATCTCAAGTCCTCGGTGTGACATGTCACTTTGTACCTGTAGGGAAAGTTTTCGGCAGTCCGTTCTCATCCTCCACGGCAAAGGTCGCGTCGAGGTCTTCGATGTACTCGCCTAAGGAACGCTCGTAACGAGGCATCCGCTTGCTCTCTTCGTCGTCCTCGACACTTCCTACCGCTCCGCCTTCCCCATCCGACCCTTCGGTCGTGTTAACCGGTAGCTTATAGTTGACGCGTATTTGCGTGCAATCGTACAGTTCCTTAGTGCAACCCTCTCTACAGGATGTCCATGAGCAATTGCTCGTACCTGGACTCAACGATCATTCATGGAAATTCGCGCGGTCGCGGAATGTAATCCAAGCACAATACACAGAACATTCGCGCATGAAGGAGTAACTGGAGAATGAGTGACATTCAAGTACACGTACACACATACAGCCGTACATACACGCCGGATAGTAAGAGCGCGTAAAAGCGTGAGGCAGCAGATTAAGACATTGACGGTTCCATGAAAACAGGATCATTTCTTGTGAAAATTTACGAGAAAGCCGAGAAGCTTAAAGCTCGCAACTGTCAACAGGCACATTCGTTACGCAATTCATTCGCCAATTCATTAACTAATCATTAACTCGTTCGAGCTTCTGAAAAATCGTTAACCATCGCCGACGTGGCGTTTAAACGGAAAAGTAATAGCTCACAGTTGCCAATTAACTCCAGAGATGTAGTAAACGGGAATAGATGCACGTGGCGAGAGGATCTACCGTGTGAGACAAATATCGGAAGCGTGCATGCACCGTGGGGTGAAGACGACGGAAACGAAGAGCGTCGGAGATTGAACCGTCAGAAAGTGTTTTGCATCGTGACGCAAGTTACGGGGGTGTTGACACGAGGCCGGTGCTCAATCGTGAAGAACACCCTGCACCCCATTGACGTCGGTGAAGAGACGAAGATTCAAGTGACGAGGGAGAAACGAGGGGACTCGAATGAGCGTGAGCCGCGGGGGTACCGAGAGCACAAAGACACCAGTTGCGTCGATCTTATCACCGCTCGCCGCGGCCTCTCTCCTGACTAGCTTGACCGGTTCTTTCAATTCTTCTTACATTTTTATATTTCTCCTCCGATAGACGAGATCCCGTTCCCGCAAATATTATTTAATGCACGGAAAGGAAATAATTTCAAAAACTTCAGATGATTACACTTTACCACGTCCGGCAAATTTTTATGTTTAAACTCACGACGTTTCGACCACGGTTCGTGGTCCTTTTCGAGCGATCTAACAAAGAAATTACAAGTAGTTTTAATAAAGAGGTGCAACACGACGCTTTGCGTTAGCCTCCAACAATGTTATCAATACCTGAGTTGCATCACGACTTCGGTAATTATATCTCACCTTTGTAAATCTTTCCTACATTAATGTCGTCGATCTTACTTCACTTCTCAAGCTTTATACTTTTGATTTTAATTTATGTAACTTATTTATTTGTTAACTCACTTATGTATCAACTCTTTATTAAAACTACTTGCAATTTCTTTGTTAGATCACTTGAAAAGGACCACAAACCATGGTCGAAACGTTGTGAGTTTAAACATAAAAATTTGCCAGACATGGTCAAGTAACTTCTCAAGTTTTTAATTGCTTCTGGTGACTTATAAGATTTCCTCCGGTCAAAAATAATTTTGTATCAACAAGATCCAGTGTAATTGAAATAGAATCGTTGAAACAACATCAGTACTAATGAATGAAAAACATCAGACAGTTGTCTTAATATTCTGGACATTTAGTTCCATGCTTAAAATAAAAATCCACAGCAAATACAGTTGAGTGAATTATTTATGTTTGCGGCAGCCCGTGACGTTAACGTTTAATTCGAGCAACTTAATTTTTACCGTGCGTGGCAACTAAAGTTTCGCTGGCTTTCTCTTTCCGGCACATCCGGATGTTGAAAAGAAAACGAAGAATTTTAATCAAACAACGGCCGCTGATATTTACGACACATATTCTCTTGTGACTCGGGAGAAAACTTTTGAATTATGCAGAGAGACGTCGTTCTCTGTTTTTCGAGTGCACGTGAATTTTACGTCACGGTATTCATCTACAGTGGCGGATTAAAATTTATAGTATTAAACTTTTATGTTAGATATTCACGTATATGTGATGGACGACCGGCATGAAAGGCAAATGCGTGCCATTGGGGAATAAAAGATTCATAGATTTTTCTTTTGTTACAATCTCCGTGGAATTTATCGCGATCCAGAGCGCGTTAGGAAAGCATTTCCCAGGCGGCAAAGGAAGACGAAGCAATCGCGACGGAACGACGTTCTTCAACATTTGCCACTGTAATTAAAATTACTCTCGTAATTGTCCATGTGCTGATCTTCCCACGACTGCACAACTGAGAGATGGAGTGCAATTGTTATTTTATACCAACTGAATAAATTATGATACGATAAATATTAAATTCAACGTGGAAACGTCAGTTGTCCCGTATGGACGTTCTTCGTCACTTTTGTTCGGTCTCGAAATAGCCTTTCCAATCATTTATGAAACTCGCATATTTTGACGCTGACCTAATTCTGTAAATGGGAATTTACGTCCGCTCCTGATGTACGTTTATCATCGTCTGTCACGTGAATTATTTCAGAATAAAGTAACATGTAATTTTTTTAAGAAACAAAAAGGAGCAGTCTCGTTTCTTCCGACTGTACCGTAAGCTTTTTTCTTCACGTTTCAAATCCTGTACGCGATATATCTCTCTTACAACGAGATCAGGTGTGATTTGCGGACGCGATTCTTTCTGCAGCTTTAAGAAAACGTCTTTCATTCCATACATACAAACGCAAAATGATATGTACGTTCATACCAAGAAACGCACATGCTCGGACATAGAAACAGAGAAACATGAAGAGCTTAGTGTTGCGCGCGAGGGAGGAATCTCAGAAGAGCGAAGAATAGTTGAGAATATACAGCATGCAACGAGGAGCGACAACGAGAGCGAACAGGTGAGATAAAGGTGCCGATTGTTCACCTCTTCTGGACTCAACGTCGATGGTAACACACTCGGCGGGTCGAGTGTCGAACTCCATGAAGATGGTGGTGAAGGCGGGGTCGATAACGAAGGGGACCAAGAAGAGGAAGGCGAAGAGGCTGAAGGTGCTGAGGAGGATGAAGAACGCGGTCGTGTAGAACAGCAGCTTCTGCAAGAGCGTCTGCTTCTCCTTTTCGTCCGCCATCTCGGAGAACAAACGGCAGTGCTGGTTTCGTGCTGGAGGCTCTTAAGCGACGTCGTCGCCGTCGTCGTCGTCGTTGTCGTCGTCGTCGTCGTCGTCGCCGCCGTCGTCCTCGGCGTGCCTGCTGCCCGTCGTCAGACGTCGGACGTCGAAGAGACGGAACGATCTACAGGCAATTCGCAGGGTATTTGTCCTCCGTACCGTCTTGGAATCGTTCGAGTCGAGCTTTCTTTGTGCGCGCGCCCCCCGAAAGATCCTCGCGGAGAGTCACCCCCGAGAGATGATTTCTGTCACGGAGATTCCCGGGGGGGGGAGGTTAGTATGCGCTGGAATGCTTCCGTTCGAGGTGAGGCTCTTTTGTACGCATTGTGCAACCAGCGCCATTTATCTTGATCACCCTGAAGCGACGTATCGATTAAACGACTTTTTTCTTCATTCTTTTGCGACGTACATTCGGTCGAATGATGAAAGAATATAATTTTTTATGTCATCCAGGGGTTGTGTGTGATGTTGTTTCGCAGTCTATTTTATCCTTTGGCAAACTAAGGGCACGTACACATGGCCTGTAAATGGCAGTGGAAATAGGCGAGATCAATACTATCAGGAATGAATCTAACATTTTCTTTTATCGTATTCGTAGATTGTAGCAATCTCTTTTTTATTAGAGCACAGGTAGGAAATATTAATTGTGTTTTATTTAGCTTTTTTTTCCAAGCTCCTCCGTCTCTTGTTTGCAACAAGAATGTTAATTGAATTGAGCATTTCGCGATTTGAATTTTTCATGGTGCAACGACTTCATAGAGTACCTTCAATTTCAATGTAGGTTATTGCAGGAAGTAAAGTGGCGGACAATTACGTGTTTCTAACTTCGTCTACGGCACTATCGGCTTTCGGCACAATGACGCGATCGTTCGATTCTCGTTATAGATAAATGAGACGGACAATACCTATTAACGTCGTATAACTTGGTTTTCATCGAATTCTTGTAGAAAAGATACAAGATTTTTCTTGTATTCTTGCGGATGGTTTATCGATTGCGTCGCGTTCGCTCGAAATTCCACTCGATTTGTGTATTTATTATATTCTTTTTAAATATTTATTATTCATTATTTTTATATTACATTTATTAGTTTTATATTTATTCAAATTTGTCAGGACCAGAAAGCCGGAGTCTGCTTTCTAAAATGTCCGAAGCCTTCAGTATCAAGATAGGGGGGTTGCTCCTGGGGTTTCTTCGCCGTCAAAGGCAATTCATGGAATTTCCCGGAAATTTCTGACGTCCTGAAGAAAGAAAAAAACGGCCGTCCTCAGGATTGATCCCGGTTCTGAGATCCGAAATATTGCTTTGCACGTCATTGGGTTTTATTTATATGGATTAGTGTCACACGCATTTGCACGCGGGTCGATAAGGATAAAACTTATGCCGGGCTTTAAGGTTTACGTGAGTTCACGTGGAGTTGTTTAATCGAAGAGATTAAAGACTTTATATCGGGTCCCTCGTGCTTGAAAATTTACCTACGCAGTTCACCCTTTGTTTAAGAAAAATTGATTAATATAATATAAGTAAAAATGAAATTATTTATGCATTCCATTAAACCGAGAGAGAGAGAGAGAAATTTATACGTCGTTTTATACGTCATAATAAATTGATTAGAAAAGATGATAAAATTATTGACAGTGCTGAAAGTGATCTGTTACTCGTCTAAAAATACTGCTTAATTTATGCCCTCCGCTGAATATTAATTTGTCAATTTGCGACCATTCAATATTTACTTTTAAAAATTGCTTTACTTACACATCGATAAATTTGTACGTATAAATTTCAAATTTTCATAACACGTGCAAAAGGTGCACAATATAATTTTTTATTGCATGCACGTGCTTACGTAACGTTTTTAAACTTACTGCGCCTCTAATGCATGATTTATATAGCGGGTTATACCCTATCGTATAGCGTGTCTTTAATAACGCAAGTCTATCTAACCTTTCCTCTTTGACTAATGTAATTTTGATAGCACCCGGAGTAGATAACAAAAAGTCACGATTACTTCGAAGTTGTTAACAGTTCCTAATAGCGAGAAAGTTACTCTCCGATTTTACTGCCAGCGCTAATACAAAATAATTAACTGTAAATATGAAAAAATAACACGCCGCAGCTTCTTGCAAAAGAAACGTTCCACTGTATATCATTAGTTTGGTAAAGAAATCTATTTTAAAAAAGTAACTCGTCTTCAGCTACTTTTTCTCGCGTGTACGTTTCTCAAGATTTACATCGAAAGAAATGCTTTTATGCGCGCTGCTACTATTTATTTTCTTCGTGAAATAAAGGAGAAATAAAAGGATAACTTTGCACGTTAAACGATCGTTTTAGAGCCGTCGAGCGTCTGAGAAAACGGTCTTGAATGAAAAGGTACCTCAGGTACACGGCTTATGAATTAATTTCGTAGACACAAAACGTGGTTCTAAGCGCTCCTCTTCATCGCGGTGCAAACTTACCCCCCCGCAGAGGCAATATGTTATCCTACACAACAGCCTTTGAGTGTTTACTCGTGAATAAATTTCGCGCGGCTCGCGAAAGTTTCAACCCTCCCTCCGCGGGATCCGCGAACGCGATTTGCAATATTTTCGGCGTCCCGCTTGAAGAGCGCCGCGTCCTCAGGCGACGCTGGGATCCCAAGGTGGATTTGCACCCCGAGAATCTCAATCGGGGCGAGTGACACAAAGAAAACTCGATCAGTCTCGCTCGGGGCAATCGTCGGAGTCAACGTAACGGTACCCCCTATGTAGAAGATGCGAATGCATCAGGGCTCGGCGCCCTCTTCCTGTGCCCCCTCATCATCATCATCCACCTTCCGCCCCTCCTCCTCCTTCTCCTCCTCCTCCCGCGCGTTCCTCGCGCTCCTCTGCCCTCCTGCCGATCTCTTCGTCTCCTACTTCCGCGCACTATGTCACACTGCTGTCCACCGTGCACATTGGTCTCCCCGCGGCGCGCGAATCACCGCGACGTCTTTACCGTCACGACGCCCTGGACCGCGTCGCTAAGGGACAATTAAACCGGGAGCGCGAAAGAGGGAGGAAAGGTGCGAGGGATGCGGAGGAGGGAAAAGGGGTGAGAGGCGAAAAGAGATAAAGAAAGGAATATAGCGTCCCGCGACCCACTCGTGGATCACGACGGGGTCCGCATAGCTTTCAGCGACCAACTTCCATCGGCAGACTTGCTACGGCAGAGCGGGGTCCGCGTGCGCGTGCACCAAGCTTTCGTCCTTGCCGCGGCGCCGACGGATGCCGGGCTACTGCAGTCGGTGGAGCTTTCGGGCGAGCTTATTTTCCAGCGATACCAGCGCCAACGACGGTACCTCGTAGCATCGACCGCTGCCACCACCGTCGACGACGACGACGAGGACGACGACGGCGCGATCGCCGTCGGGGCAGCGAGCCCTGATCACCTGGCGTTCCCTCTTCTTCGAAAGCGCCCCTCGCGCTTCCTCTCGCGATTACCCCGGCGTACAATTTATTGCTGTCGCTGTCTTGTTGGACGGCACGCTGTTTAGCAATTTATATCGCTATAACTGTCTCACGAATGCGCGATGTCGAACTTTTCTTTCCTCTCCGCTTCGGACCTATTTTGCTTCTTTTTTTCCCCTCCGAATTTCCCTCCCTTCTTTTCAGTTCTCTTGAATTATGGAAGAGATGGCGGAAGGAAGGACAGTTGAAACGTCACAATGTGATATCGAGCTTTTTCAGAGAAACATTCAAGTTTCGAACACGCAATGAACTATTTGATTTGTATTTGTATCTGTCGAAATGTATATTTCATTTAAGACATTTAACATAATGGAACTTTGAGAGTTGCACCCTTACAGAAATGTAACAACCGGGCACGAAAGAGGCACTGAACAATTTACTAGAGTTCACTGATTGAATTATTAGAAATTATCGATGTGCAGTAATTCTCTAATAATTATTTCGCATACATTTCTATATGCTTGTTTCTAAAAATGAATTCTTTTAATGGAGTAGGAATGCGTGAAAATTGCATTTTTTCTGTATGACACACTTCTGCAGATTATTCTACAATGTTAACGATTTTTATTTCTAACATTGCTGTCTCTATTTTTGCCACACCTTTTACGTTATTTCTTATAATTTATTCAATGCGATACACCACCCTCAAGTTCTACCATCGATTCGGGAATTTCGAAGGGTCGGTCGAGAAATAAGGATAATGCGTAGTGCAATTAAGTCGGAGTTGAACACGGCGTCGTGAATTTCGCCTTGCATGTAAGAGGAAATAGCGGATATTTTATTGTCGCTGTTTCAGCCTCACCAGTGTGTGCTTTAATCTCGAGAGAATTCTTAGGTCCGTATTTACCAGTTGTTACTTGAAACCTCGTCTTAAGGGAATACGAAATGAGATGCTGAGAATGGAGATTCTTATTTCGAGATGCACGAACTGTTGGACACGACGATTTTTTATCAGAGACCAACTGTGAACGTTCGGTTGAGTATTCGATTATCCGTGTATAATTTAACTTGGCATTCAAGTATCGACATTCACGTATCGACATTCACGTATCGATTGAAACAGCGATGCCTGCTTTTTTTTAAATTGACGTCAAGATTTATTTTTTAAAATAATATCCGTATTCTTAACGGGAAATAAATTTGTTATATATCTCAAAAAAGTCTCCTCGAAAAAGATTAAGGACAAAAAAAACATGATTTTTATACAGGGTATTTCTTAATAAGAGCGGAAAATTTTAGATGATTTTTTGGTCGAAAATTAAGGGCGGTTTTTCGTATAAACATGTTAAATTCCTCCAAAAATGGGGGTAAAAATTTAGTTTTTATTTTTTTTCTCAAATGTGGAACAAACTAAAGAAAATACCCACCAAATTTCATTTCTTTAACATGTTCCAAATTTGAGAAAAGAATCGAAATCTAAATTTTACCCCCCATTTTTGGAGTGTAACTTCGCAGGGAGGAATCTCAATTTTCGACAGAGAATCATCTAAAATTTTTCCGCACTTATTAAAAAACACCCTGTATATGCCAGGCATACTTTCCTTCTACCAGACGACCAGGCTGATATTCCTGCGGTTTAAGAAGGAAAACCAATAAGCGTTCTGGCCTAGTTGGAGTTTGGAACAGTGACGAAGTCACCGAAACGAAATTAAGCCCTTCGCCGAAGTTCGCTTCATCTACAAGACGTCGAAATTTCGAGGGAGCTATCGGGTGCTCCCGACCTATCGCCGATGGCTTCAATGACACAAACTTATTTCTAGTGCCCATTCATTAATAAATACCCCACCATCCCCCAGATGCTATTTTCCCAGATGGCTCGGGGAATTATTATTATCGCGGATGACGTAACGATTGCAGACGATCGGTCGAACGGGTTTCAATATTCATTTCCGTCTGGCGACGAAGGCATCGGTTACCACGTAATGCAGCTTCCGCCAGTATAACGTCGCTAAAATTGTGTAAATGCTTTTAAGAAGGGATGTCAACCGATTCGCAGCGGCTTCCATTAACACGGCGGGCGCAGTTTATTGTACGCTCTTCGATACTTCGCGTTGCAGTGGCTGCGAAATGTAGAGCGCAGTTTGCATTTCGCGATTATCAAGTCCAATCACGTTGAAATTTAGTTAGAGAAATTGAATTTTGCTTTTGCTCGGCAAAGAAAAGCATGGTGGCAGCACAAAGAAAGGGAGACGCGGCTGTGATGTTCTATCGCGAATAAATTGCTGAAAATCAATATCTATTTACTTTCGAATAAGTTTGTTGTTTGAAAAACTGCCTACGGTGATAATTCGTTACAATACGCTTTAAATAAACACAAACCTTCTCAAATGCATGTAAATCTCTGAATTATGCAGAGCAAGAAAAAACACTATCATTTATTTTTAATAAAAGTTTAAGAAAATTTTGATCACACGGTAAATTAAACTCTTAGCTAAATTTTTTTTCTTAAGATGTATATTTTATCTTTGTATATTAATGGAAATGATTGAAAACGTCTTGTGCAATTTGATACAATTGAAAAATGACAATTTTTATTATTTCAGGTTCTTCGTAATCGGAAAAGAGAGTTTTTACGAACGCGCTGCAATGTGAAAATATAGAATTTTTTTAAGTGAAAAATGCAGCATTATCTTTTCTCGTTTAAGAAATTACTCTTTGCTAATGCTAATGTTTTCTGCGAATGGGATTGTTCACGTGAATCATCGTGCGGGCAATAGGTCGCCGCCATTATACACTATCCCTCTTTATCGGCGACATGGCACTAGGTGCCACACTGACATACTGAGACAGATTGACCTTAACGATGTAACCGGGGATAGTTCCAGGCTGATTCAACCCTCTCGTCGGCGGTCCTGCGGAAAATTGGCCGATAGCCAATGAACCGAAATGTGGGCCGCCTGTTCTTGTGCCACATCGAATGTAAATGACGGTGCCAAGTCTTCCCTAATTGTCAGACTCGTACGAATCGGTACCAGTTCACCTTTTTGTTTTGGCAGAGGCAGACTGAAAAAAAGTCTTTGTGCCAACAAAAGTGTATTATACCGAACGTCGACGTAGAATAGACAAGGCCACGATCACCGAATTGATTATAGGAGCCTCCGGGCAACTTGATAAGATCTTACGTATATATCGTTGCTTGCGATTAATTATTGTCAAACGACTGAGTACGAGCATCAACGACTACAATAGTAATTTTATTATAAAATTCGGCTTGTTTAGAGATAACTCACGTGGGACACCCGATAATAATACCCGATTTGATTGTGCAGCGAGGAATTTCGCGATAATCCAATATCGCAGCAATATGACGGACAATAAATCTCGTAAACCGCGCTCGTTATTTCTCGCATGATTAATTGATAAGAGCAATTAATATAATTCTTTCTCACGTAAATTTTGCTTCAAAAGATTTTCCATTTTCGGTATGCAGTTTTTATAAAAGTATACACCCATATTTCACCGACGGTCCTACTCTGGGAAGAAAAAGCTAACTGTCCTGTTTTTTCCCAGACTACGCGGACTTCGGGTTGAACATTGTGGCAAGCCGAAAGAATAAATTTGGAAATTTCTCGAGTTAATAAAGAGACGAAAATATTCGTCCGCATCAAATGCACGAGCGTCTCGGCGCTGCATTTTTGTATGGAGAGCTCGAAATACGGAAGAGCCGGCGGGATGGATTATCGGAGATATCGGACGCCGTTTCTATTTATGGCCACATGAATGCGCGCACGAGTGGATGCAAATATACCTCTCGGACGAGCCGGCGCTGTATCTGAACGGTGCGATCTTAACATCCCCCCCTTTCCAATTCCGACCAAATTAACGTCGCGCTCGAAATTAACTGCACGTGCTTAACCCACGTGCCATTCGTTGTCGGCTTCTATTCCGAGCGTGTTCCCCAAACGACGGCCGCTCGGAGAGAATATCGGGGCAATCGAAGAAGGCGGCCGACAACCGAGGATTGGAAACAGTAATTAGGACATTCCCGGGATTCCTGCGCGTAACCAGTTCCTGTGCGAAACCACCCCCGAATTGGATCAGCGAGTCAGCGATGTAAAGCAAAGCGAGAGTTCCCGAGGAGCAAGAATCAATCGATCCTCCGGTTTCTTTTTCTATTTCCCAGGCCACTCTCTCTCTCCGTTACGTCAGAGCGCAGAGGGTCGTCGTTTCTTTCGTCGGAGGACTCGCTGTAGATCGAGAGCGACGAGCGGAACGGACGAACAGAGGGATTTCGGTGTCCAGCGCGCGGGGGTCGGGGGTCGATTCGTTACATCAGCGAAGCGGGATATCGGACGATCTCCCGATTCTCATTCAGGTCAATCCTTTTACCCCCCCGCAATCGTGATGAGGCGATCGACGCGTGGGTGGCTCGCCGCGTGGCACGAGAGCGTGGATGTGCGTGCCGCCGCGGCCCGCTCGCGATGACAAAACGATGGTGTTGGTAGCAACGCGGGGGTATTGATTTTGTGGTACAATACGGCAACTGCGAGGTGGAGCAGTTGCAGCTCCAGTACGGCCGTCCCACCGCCATATTTGTTTCCCTCGGCAGGCCAGAGTGCGGAAAGCGGATTTTCTGCGGATTTTATACCGGAACGGCGAGTCGCCCCGCCATTGCGTAAGTAACAGATCGAAGATCCCGGGACGCGGCCCCGTGCAGTTCCACGGGCGTCCTCCGACCGTTCTCACCCCCGTGCGAGGAGCGCGGACTCCGAGCGCGTAGCATCCCCTCGCGAGGCGAGCAGGTGGCGGATCCGCGCTCGACGTGGGCCCGCGACGTAAACAACGCGTGACAAGTGCCTGACAGGTGATTGTCTCACGGCGTGTCTGCCGCCGCAGCTGTTTTCAAGGTGTGCCCGAGCCTCGTGCGTACCCGACGCGTGTCTCTCGGCTATCGTTCGGTCGGCCGCGCCGCGTGCCGCGCGAATCCGCGGGGCTATCGATGCCGGCTGATCAATGCGGAGAGCAGGAGGGTAACGAGCGTCCGTATTCTCGTGTCCCCGAGGACGAATCCGTCGGTTGCGATCCGTCGGTGGACCACCGTGGATTCGTAAGCCCTTAGAATTTCGACGGGAATAGTTTGGGCCGCGGCGCGGGTGATTTCAATGACGTGTGCCTCCAGTGGACACGATTCGAGGAAGAAATGACGCAACGCGTGGGAAGAGCCTACTTAAGTTCTCCCATAAGTGTTTCTCCGAATGCATCCCCCGGCGCGAGATTAAAATGGTGCCAGGCGCGAAATGAAAATCGCGGAGTAGACTGCTCCGTTTAATCCGCTTAATTACGCCGCGAGTCAACGACGCGGAACCTTTTCTCTCTCTCCCGTCAGTGGGAGATTTCTTCCTTCTTCCTTGTCGTTCACGTCATAAGAAACTGCTGTAAATTATTAAGGAACGGAATTACCCGAGTGCGGTCAGGTCCGGTAAATCCATAGCCAATCGTAGCGCGATCGATCGTTCATTCTTGGCTACAACACGTGTCAATCACGCGCTCGCTTGTTCGACTGAACGAAAAGTCAAATGTGCTCCTTCTCCTCGATCAATTTACAACGTCCGCAGTCTCTGTAGGTCTCGTCAAGTTTTTAAAATGTATAAATCGATTCTTAACATCATCTTCGGCGCAAAGTGGATTTTATCCTAGCGCTTCTGTATCGCGATGTTCTTCTACCGCTTTATTCCCCGCCGCCCGATAAAACGTACGATAATTCGCATATCACGTAGGGCTGCGCGGCTGGGAAATATTATAGATAAGTATCTATAGCCCTCGCGTAACTAGATGTAAAACGTGTTCTGTAACATCGGTAGGTGGAATATTACGGAGTGATGGACGTGACGCTCGCGCTGGTCCACCGGATAGATTGAGAATACATACGGAAAAATGTCCGCGTCGCGAAAGTCCGCTTTGCGCTGAATAATTTAAAACCAGGTGATCGATTCTCAGGTGAGCCGCGGAGACGCGACAAACTCTATTCCAGCCGACCTCGTTTAAGATTCGATCGCGCCGCGCAATTATGCCGCGTAACATTGACGCGCATTTTACCCCGATGCTACATGTCCGGAATTATCTGTTTGCAAACTTGTACGTTTCTATAAAAAGGAGATTGTAACGCAGAGGGAGATTCTATTCTGGAAAACGTTCTTCTACCTGCCCGCACTCGGAAATTGTTAGTTTCAGTCTCCCAGGAATTCTCGCTCGCCTCTATTCTTCTTTATCAGGACGTGCGTCTCCAGTTTAATTGTGACGTAAGAATTATTTTGTACATTTCAATTTTGCTCTGCGAAATACGCAAAGACACGCGAGGCGCGAATTATCGCGGAAATTGCCCGTGTTTTCCCCGCGCCGGTCGATACGAAAAATTGATGTTGACACGATTCGAGTTGCGTGATTCCGTGCGAATGTTAGGCGAGGGTCCGACGCGTGTGTAATATGCAGCGGCGGAAAACCGCATAAAACGGAGTCGCCATGCCGTCTGAGCCTGGCGCTCGATAAAATTACACCGCGAACACCATAAGCCACGCTTTATTGCGCCCGCGTTTTGTCGGCGTTTCTCCTTCTTCTCCCATTCTGCTCCCATCCCGGTCAAACTGCCACATGTTGCGAGGGTCGTTAGCGGAAGTGTGCCACGATATCGCGGTAGATTTGAACGGCGAAAAGAATTGACTTTTTCAAAGAATCGTGTACCACAAAAATGTCCCTCGAGATTATTATTAGCGGCGTCTTGCTTGTAAAGCCGTTGTTACGTCAACGTTGTTAGAGACCGACCGAAATTTCGGTTTCGGTTTCGGCCATATTCGGTCTAAAATCAAGATTTCGGCTTGGTTTCGGTTTCGGCCGAAATAGAGAGAAAATTTCGGTGACGTAAGCCGAAACCAGAAACTAGAAGTCGCAACACGTCGCGTTGGTCAACGCCAATTGCGCCGGCGCGATTTCTTCCTTCTTTACCCGCTCTTTTACTCTCCTTGAAATGTTTAGTGCCTGAAATGCATAACATCGAACGTAACCTCTCAAACGCTCATCGGTTGCTAATAGTGTCAAATAGTAATATCCAATTCTCTTGAAGTTGATCTCTTATTTTATGTTTCTTCATATTTTATTTTATATTGTAAAACTCGAGTAAAATACTTTTATATTTTGATAAAATATGTAATAAAACCTTACTTAAAAATGTACATTTTCTACTAATTTTCAAAATTATATCTCTTTTATAAGACTCTCCAAAAAATTTCGGTTTTGGTTTCGGTTTCGGCCGAAATTGAGAGAAACCCAAATATTCGTTTTCGATTTCGGCCGAAACTAAAAAAGGTGGTTCTGGTCGGACTCTAAACGTTGTAGAAAAGTCGGAAAGGGAATTACACATCTATGTTTGCGGGGGAGAAAATATTTTATGCGGAAGTATGCCACGATCCCAGATAGCACAAGGCGCTCCTGTGAACATTTTAAGAATATTCTTCAAGAATATTTGGAATATTTCATAGGTCATTCTTATACATGGTATTTATCTTACGTTCGTAGAACATTCGACTGGCACTACTACAAATCTTTTTCGAATGTGAATAGAATAATCTGTCGAATATAGCGCGTCGGTTATACACGGTATGATCACAGATTTTACTGTCTTTTGCATAAGTGTATTACACAATAAACAATGTGCAATACACAAACTCAATAAGTATTAAAAAATTATTCCAAAGACATTCTCGACGAATATTCTGAAAACGTTCCTCTTTGTTATGAGTATACGATTTCTAATTGTAATAATCTATATATATATTTATAGAATATTCGATTGGAATATTCTGAAATTAAGAATATTTGCACTCCAGAAGGATATTCATAGAACTAGATGTGCTATCTGGGGATTTCGCGGCAGATTTGTTTTGCGTAATAAACAGAGAAAAGAATTGATTTTTTTAAAGAATTGTGTACCACAAAAATGTCCCTTCAGGTTATTATTAGCGGGGGGGCCTTGCTTGTAAAGCCGTTGTAACGTCAACGTTGTAGAAAAGTCGGAAAGGGA